CTCTTCTGGAATCTTTGGGCCGAAGTAAAAAGCTAGAATACCCCCCTAGGACGACACAACTTTGGAAGATTCATCCGGAGCGGTCACCAATCTGGAACAACTATAGGGGTAACTGTAGGGCTGCAACGCTCAAGGTAGCTTAGCTTGAAGTACCGTGGTCCAAACAAGAGCTTAACGCTTTGGGGACATCATGTATACATGTTTATAATATATTATGCATATTACTATCACGTATTACATTGACATCGTATATTATGTCCAAACTGAGCAACTGAGTTTTGAGACCAGGCTATCGCCAGAGTCACCAGCGCAACGACCCGGGGCCGCTGCCCTAGCTCGCGAGCAATCGATTGTTCATGGGGGCCTGGGGGGGAGGGGGAGAGGTGAGAGGTGGAGCCCAAATGAGGCCGATTTACCTGGCCCCCAGCCATCCGTTTCGTTGCTTTTAGCTGGTCGAGTGGTAGTTCCAAAGGGTTGGGATACAGGACATTGAACAGGAACACAGCTGAGCTCAGGTGGTTTTTGGGGTCATGTCCGCTGGATTTTCCAACCAAAGCCCCTTTGGTTTCCGCGTTTCACCCCGTAAAACAAGTCGAGCCACCAGAAGGCTGAAAAAATCTGAGGGCCAGTTAGCCGGGCCTTTGGGCCTTTTTGAAACCCTCCCCATCTCATCTCCGGGCCCCGGGCCCCCTCAGAACAGCTTCTTTGTCTTCCTGTAGCTGCCTTGTGCAAACACGGGGGGGGGGGGGGAGAGCGGGGGGGGGGGGGGGTTGGGGGGCGGGACTATATATGTAATATATATATATATATGTGTGTTTGTATCTATTATATATATTTTTGGTACCCATCCCATGAACCTTGGCTTGGTGTGTTTGACCTATATTTTCCAATATATTCATACCTCTACGTTTTGACACCCCTCTCTTAGGCCGGGGACATGACCTTGGGTGCAAAAGTGCAGGTGCCTTTGCCGCCGCCGAAGCGTGGGGAGGCGCTTCCGCCTACCTTGGACCTGCAGATCAAGGCGGAGATCTCCCGGGGGCTGTTCTGTGGGGTCATCAAATTTGGCAGAGGCAAGGTCAGCCAGAAATTGGCATGTTGTTCTTTTTGTTCTCTCCTTTTTGTCCGACTGCTCTGCGGGGTTATCAAAGTCAGCAAGCTGTGTTTCTCCCTCATAAACCTCTTGATATCTTCAAAGCAAATGTTCTCTTCCCCAGAATTAGCTCTTTTTTTTTGCTTTTTTGGGGTCCTTTGTTTTCCACTAACCAGGCAAAAAAATAAAATTTGCTGGGGTCCTAGTTCCAGCCTAGTTCTGTGGGGTGATCAAATCTGGCAGAGGCAAGGTCAGCCAGAAATTGGCATGTAAGCCAAAGAGGGTATAGGGAACTGCCATGCTTTGTGTGTCAAAAAAGGGTTATCAAAGTCAGCAAACTGTGTTTCTCCCCGTTGACCTACCACTTAGGGGTGACTTTGATAACGGTAAAATAATGCGGCTAGATTTAATCGAAAAAAACCGGCATGCATGGACGCTGGGCGCCTGGTTCAAGGATAGTTTCGAGGTATTTCTCTGTCTATGGGCCGGATGTTGGGAGTATTACGAGTATGTCTCTGTTGGAATGGATTTGAGGCTCAGGCTACCAGTATTCCCCTGCAGTTAGACTTGGTTTGACAAGTAGCAAACCCAAACTTTACTGCGTCATATAGAATCCGGCTTGACCAGCAACTTGCTTGGACTTGAAGCGATGTTTGGGCTGAAGTGTACGGAGCAAGTTTCGAAGTTAGCCCGTAAAAGCCTGAGATGGGTCATATTTCAAGCCCCAAAGTGGCCAGTTTTTCGTGAAAACCGGCTTGGGGTTCCAGGGATCAGACAATTTGGGTTTGCGGGACTTCAAACCATATCAAGTCATGGTCGTAGGAAGAAATGCGTCTAGTTCTTTGGCTGTGGTTGTCAAACCCAATGGTACCATTTTGGGGTAGGTGCACCACCCATTTTAGAAACTATGCTAGTGGGGATTGGGGGTACGGGATTTTGACCCATGGCCATTTATCAGTTACGAGTGGAGAATAGAGAGCGGGGACCGTTTCCAGAATCAGGCAAAACACTGGAGGTTCTGAGTACTTCCCATTCGCCCCTTGTACAGTGGATTGACAAAATTGCCTTTGAACCAGTTGACTTGGTGGCTCCATCCGGTTCCTGAGCTTTTCAGGTTTTTAGGGTTTAGTGCGAAGCGGAGTCTGTCCATCTGCATTGCTCTCCTGCAACCACGGAACCTGGCCACAAAAGTAGAGTCCTGATGCGCAACCCCCAGTTCCTGGACTGGACAATTTTAGTGGTAGACCAACAAACTTGTTTTTTGCTTGTTCTGGCCAATCCGCTGGATAGGAAGTAGTTTTTTTTTTTTTTGTGTGTGTTTTTGTTGTTTGTTTTTTGTGGGGAGGGAGGGGGGTGATTGGAACAGCACTTTGGTTTAAAACAACGGGCCCAAAATTGCAGGTGCCAATTTCCCCTCTGGCCGACTCTGGCCCCCCTGTGAATTCGCAGGGGATGACAATGGAACAAGAATATGGAGGTCTTTTCGAAAATGGTGAGCCCTTTGTTGGATGGGCAGCCAAAAGGAACCCTTTTTGTAGCTTGAGAAATTCCCACATGACCGCCCAAGACCCTTGTCTCTGTTGTTCTACCTATTGAAATAGAGACGATAGTAATCCCTCTACACATTTGTGCCATGTTAGAATCCCTATATAAATCTGTATCACCATGTTGGTAGAACCAAAAGGCCAACAAAAAAGACATGTTGTCTTTTTTGCCACTCCGCTGTCTAGGAAGTATCGGTGTTCCTTTAATTTTGTTTTATTATTTATATTTGTTGTCTTTCTTTTTTTTGGGGGGGGTTAATGGAAAAGCGCTTTGGTTTGGGTTTGGGGCGGTTATGTGGGGATATGCAAACATAGTTGACTGCTTTTGGGTTTAACTTTTTGGGAAATCAAGGGGTTTTCCACTAAACCCACAACAGTTATGCTTTTTGTAGTGGGGCCAACAGAAACCAAGCATAGTTGCTGTTTGTTTTGGGTCAGCTCGCCTGGCGCCAGCCGGGCGGCGATTGATGGCAGGTGGCGGAGCTGGCGGTGCGATCCTCGGCGAAAGGATTCCCTCGGAGCTTGGCGGTGCACGCGGCGAAGCTCTTTTGCGGTGCGACGGACTCGTCAGTCGGGGGGTTGGGGGGAGGCTAGCGGCGAGAGGGCGAGAGGGGATTTGGGGGGGGATTTGGGCAGGGGGGGAGGGGGAAGATTTTCGGGGGGGGGGGGGTGGAGATTTGGGGGGAAATTGGGGGGGGGGAGAGGGGGGGGGGTTGACAAGAGGTCTCCAAAACGAGGGGTTATTGTGTGTTTCTGATAAAGTACGAAACAGGTCCAGGCCAATCCAAAGCCAGCAAAGGGCCACCGAATCTTTGGGCCGGAGGGGATAAAGAGCTGGAACCGAAGCCTCAACTGAGACTAGCAATGAAACCTGTGAAATCTGGACCGACCTTTTTTAAGCCCGGAATCCAGTTTCGCAGCGGTAGACATGGATAATTACCGTGTTGTTGCTGACAGGTTGGTCAGGGGTCCCTATATTTCCCCGTTTGGTTTTAAACATCACCTTTTTGCCCATTTAAAGTGAGCTTCCCTTCATTCAGGCGATGTTTTGAGGGGAAGTCTAGGGAGCCCTGTTGGTCCTGAACCAAACGAAGAGCGGCTTTTTGGGTGAGTCGGTACGCATGGAACTGGGGAAAATGAAACTTACCTCTTCAGTTTCCGAAGCCAACATTTTAGCCAGGTGCTTCCATCGCTTGTGGGAGGTCACCCAGCACCCGGGTCCCCACCACTGAAATAGACAGCTGGATTTGGGATATTTCGAACATTCTGGTTATGTCTCAAGGTACTCGTAGACTAAATATGAAGCAGAGCAGAGCACGAAATCCTGCACCACGTTGCAACCATGATAGACCATTGTGTCTTAGTATTTGCTGGGCAGTCGGCTTTGCGTTTCTCAGGTGTTGCTCTTCCAGAACCATGAAAGCTGACAAGAGGTCGAGAAAAGAACCACATGTTTATATATATATATATTTATATATATATAAATAAAAAAAGATAGAAATAATAACCCAAAACACAAAACACTCGATCCTTTCGGGGAACTCGATCCTTTGCCATCCCCACTTCGAAGACCCGCGAGGTATTCGGAAGGAGGCCGGCGCCGCCTCCGCTGCGCTTCTGTCCATTGTTTTGCTGGTGCGATAGGGAACGCGTTTCTGCCCTTTTTTGCTGCGAGAGGGAATGAAGAATGGAATGAACCCAGGCTTCCCCTTAAAGAAAGAAAGCAGTCGGTTGGATGGTTCTTGTTGGGGTCATTCCAATTCTTATTTTCTTGCTGAGCACCAGCAAGCTTTGCTTAATACATGTTCTGGATTTTCTTCCGGGTGTAAAGGGAATCTGTGACTGCTATTCTTGTTTTTCCAGGGAATTAATCAAATGGAGTTTCCATTAAATTTGGTTGAGGGTGCCCTTTCTGCGGTTGTTTTCTAAGTAAACCAAAGGCAAGACACTAGTTTGGGTGTTCCCTATTTTAAGACACACCCGGTTGGGGGAAAGCCAGGGGGGGGGGGGTTATGCGGGGGTTGGCCCAGCAACTTCCTCGCTCCGGGCAGCTAGGCTCAAAGGACAGAGCATTGAGAGCCATCGACACGCACCAGCAATGAACACGCACATTGCGTTCTTTTTTCCGTTTGGCGTCCCTTTCAACACCCAACCAAAAAAGAGTAATTTCCCACAAAAATTCAAGACACGCCCATATCCATGTTTCCCTGTTCCAGATCCTTGCCTTGCGAGTACGAGCACTATCTCAGATATCAGGCATAGCGGGGCTAGAAGTTGTTTTTCTTCCAGACCTGGGAATGTTCAAAGCAACGTGTCGCTCTTGGATGGTGTTCAAACGGGTCCCCCCTTTCTGCAAAGGTGAGTGCTCCCATTTCAGAACGGACTCATACGCATTGGCGCCATGAAGACAGTGCGCGGCGTGGCACGGGTGGCAGCGAAGTCCCCCTCAGCGCGTCGCCTGGTGGTTAGCCCTTTGAATGCACGTGACCACACGCAAAGCCTGGGCGAGTGAAGGTTAGGCAGGGACAATCTGAACCATAAGTGGGTGTGTCTTCTTTTGGGGGAACCCCGAAGTTGTGATTTTCCTTCTGGTTTCCCTTCCGACCCACACGAAAAAGGGTACCTCCCAAAAAAGACATACCGAAATAGGTGCGATCGTCGTGTTGATTGTTCAATCCTCTAGTACATCTTAGTCTAAGGTGTTGATTCTGGCTCATGCAAGCAACATATCTTATTACCAGGGCATCGGTGTTTTGAGACTGTGGATGGACAAACTCCTGCACAGGAGTTCGTCCATCCACCGTACTAGGCGCGGTAATCTGTGGTGATTTGAGGGGACATGGGACATTGGGAGGGGATCTTCAGCAAACCCACCTGCGATTCGGTGTCCGTTGCGACGTTCGGAGAGATCATCATCTTATCTTGCTGGAACCTAAGCAGGGAATCCCTGCAACGATGCCAGTTTGCGGAGTTGCGGAGTTGCCAGGGGACTCTAAAAGGGATCGAAAACACGGAACAATTGAGACTGGTCACGTGATTTGATCCTTTGAAAAAGGGGGTAAAGTCGGATACCATGGAAAATATCATCCTCGGCGCCAGTTTCGGCAGCCCGACGCAAGCTTCGGAAGATGGCGCTTCACATGTTATATATATATATATATATACACATATGGAATATATATATATATATACATGGAATATATATATATATACATGGAATATATATATATATATAGATCTCTCTCTCTCCCTCTCTTAACGCAGTCTTGGGCTGCCAACCAATTGGACCTTGAACTCTTAACCTCTTGGATCAATTCTCATCCCAGCAGGGAGCCAGGATGGGAAGCCAAGGCAGAGGTTGTGCTCAGAGCAATGCGAGTACTCAAAGCCCGATTCGGGTACGCTTAGTTTCGAATCCCAAACAAGTGCGGAGATTCGCTGATGTTAGTTCGCTACATGGGTAGACCATGTTTGTTCTTTTCTCCGCCTGAATTCTTGGCATGGGTACTAGTTTCATGCCAGGTTTTATAATAACTCTCTCTCAGTTTCAGTGAATAGCCCAACTTGAATTTCTTCATTCTGTCCGATGGCGAGAACATATTTAATTAGTAGCATCTTTCTGTTTTTCCCTGTTGGTTTTAATTGAAAGGGAACCTATCACCTTTTCATGTTTTGCTATTTTTGTCAGTGGACGAAAACGCAAATGGATCATTTCTCTGGTTCGTTTTTGGTTGGTCCCTCAGCGGGTTTTGTTGAAGTCCAGGTGTGCTGCTGTGCTCCGGCGCAGTGCTGTATGCCATGCGGAGATCTGGCACTCTCTGGGTGCTCGCGCTGTTACTGGGCATCTCCTTGGAGCCTTGCAGGGAAAATCAGGTGACTAAAATACTTGGCGGCGTCCAGCTGTTTTTTTTGGGGGGGATATTCAGGGTGTTTTTGTTTTCAGGGTGTTTTTCTTTGGGTTTGCCGGGTGTGTAGGTGGTTTAGTGGGTGTTTTTGGTTGGCCTTACCTTGGTCTAGCTGGTAAGGGAGCTATCAGCCCAGCGAGCTGAGCTACCGGGAGTTCTGGAAGCTTATGGGCGTAAGCCTTTGGAGGTCCTATGGCAGGGTCTCTATGGCGCTCCTTAAAAGAAAAAGATGGTTGCAACCATTTGAAACATGTGGCTTTTTCACAAGATAAAGTTGGAAGCCACCAAATAGACAAGTTGCAATGTTCAGGTGTATAATGTAAGGATCCCTGTTGGTGATCATGTGGGGCTGTGGTTGTCAGAAGAAATGGTCACCATTTTGGGGGGTTTCGGTGCACCACTCAAATTTTAGTCGGGATTGGGAGGTTCACTGGTACGATTTGGATTTTGACCCATGGCCATGTTGCTTTTTCAACACCAAAATAAAGTTGGAAACCACCATTTACAAGTTGCAATGTTCAGGTGTATAATGTAAGGATCCCTGTATGGGGTGGTGATCTATGACCAGTTGGTTACTCATTGGTCTGGGTGAATTATAGCAACCTTACACGACCTCACCCCCAAATGGTGGTTTATGTGGGGAATAGCCCCCCAACCACCTGATTTCAGGTTGGTGAAATATTATACTTCACCCCGATTGGTACCTGCCTTTTCATCTGATGGAAAACTCTCTGGTCTCAACGGGTTGACAGAATGAAGCCAAAAGCGCGTTGGCGGTACAAAATGACACCTGGGTTCCTCGGGCAGCATGCTTCGATGGTTTGCTCGCAAATGGAAACTTCAAGTACGAAAGTAGTACGCGAAGTACGCGAAACCCCGCTGCCGCCCAGTCCCAGTTTTGAGTATGAAAGTAGCAAGCCAAGTGCACTTTGCCAGCTGCGGCTGGAAACTCGTCACAATTTCCGGCATGAAAGTGCCACGCGAAGTAAAAAACTCTACGCGAAATTTCGAGCACTCGAAGCGCGCTCCTGCAGCAGCGCAATCACTTCGCGAAGAGTGCCTTCACAGCTGCAAGCCGAAGATCGAAGAGCGAAATCGCAGCCAGCTGATAGGTCCCCCGGTGCCCTTGGAGCCAACTTTTTTGGTTGGGAGATTCGGTTCCCCTGCTGAAATAGACTGCAGAAAAATCGGGGGCCCTTATTCTAACCCCTCAAATCTGGAGGACCATCTTATAGCTGCACTGTCTTCCTCGAAGTGTGCTCAGCAAATCGCAACGGTTTCAGTGAAAAAGTAGGTTCACGGACATGGCACTGGAGTAGAAACGCAAATCGCCGATCAAAAGCACAGTCGAGTTAGATGCCTGGGTCCTCCATCTCCGGGTTGATTTTTTCTTTTTTTCCAGCAGACCCTTTGACAACTCGGAGTTTCAGGTGCTTATGTATGGATCAAAAAGCAGGAGTGGCTACAAAGCAGTGAAAAACAGCAGATTACTGCACACCTGGATCTTCCAAATAATCATTGACATTTAACGTAGAATCCGGAGACTATAGAAACCTGTTTGGAGGACCTCAGAGAAATGTCCAGGTTGATTGTCACTCTGAGAAATTGGTTTGCACAAAGCTCTAGAATCGCAACTATTCGGTACTTGACGGAAGGAGCCCTCCAGAATCAGAGCCGCCGAATCAGAGCCCCCGTTCACATGAATCAGAAACAATTTCAGAATTATATTCAGAATTTTGGTGAATCGGCCAAGCCAGAAAACACCACACCCGCAACGCGGCGCACAAAACCCACAACCTCCCGCAACTCAAAAAGGAAAACCGAGTTTCCGGAGAGTGCATGTTCAGTAAAAGCAGTGAAATCCTCCTTCTCGAGCACACAGAGTTGCAGAATTGTAGTAGTGAGGAAACGCCCTGGTCGCAATTCACGTGTTTCTCTGTTTCCGGGCCATCCGTCGTCTAGTTGGTTTTCTTGGTTTATCAATGGAAGTTAAAAGGACAACTGATCAGATTGGGGTGCATCATTTAGAGACAAAAATATAATGTCAGGCAAGTGACAGCTGAATGCAAACAAGGGACACCCTGCTGGCAAGCTGAACTAGCGCATATCCGCCAAAGTGCATGCCAGCAAAATCATCTAATCCATGAGATATGGCACGACAGGTGGCCAACTTGCTTGAGGATCCCTTCATTACAAACTCCATCCACATAAGAAAGGGTATAGGAAGCCCCCCACATGTATATTTCCTTCGACCCAATTAGGTGAATCAAGAGGTACAGTGGCAAGAAGCTCTTGAAGTTTCTTCTCCAAATGAGCATGTCGTTCTTGATGCTACCTTTGGTTTTGTTTCTCGGGAAGCCGAAGGCAAACCCGCCTTTTGGGGGGGAGGGGTGGCGGGGGGGGATTGCTTAAACCAGCTGACTGCTGAGGAAGAGATCTACTTGATGCGCGACTGGATGGTGGACATGGCGCCTTGGTTCGCGCATCAGGGACAACACGAGCTGTAGAAATTGTTCGAACCCAAGGGCCCCTTGCCATTCAATGTCATCCTTGTGTTTCTGTTGGGAATTGAATGGAGATGATGTATGGGGCGCGGCGAATCCGTTCTTTTTCTCGTTGGTGGTGGTTGTGCAAGTGGCAGCCGTTGATTTGTTGCAGGTAAGATGTTGAACCTTTGCTCAATATCCTTTTCGGTTTCAATGCTGCACATCCACTGTATGGTTGACGGATGGATTGCTCTGGTTTTGAATCATTCAGCGCTCAGGTGGCGCGGAGGTTGGGCTGTCCTGATGTGCCGTGGACAGAACGGAAGGATCGGGCAAAGATGGCCCCCAAAAGGGGGACCCAAGGTTTGTTCTTGTTTGAAACTTAGAGGACCCGGCAAATGTGGAGCCCTCTCCCAGCAAATCTCCAGCTGCTCAGTTTTTGTGCATGTGTGTTCGTCAGTTTATCTGCCATTTGTCTAAGGCAAGAAAGTTGCTTCTCGCAGGGCTCGTGCAAAACCGTGCAACGTTTTGCACTTGCCACAGCTTGACGACAGCCTCCTCTCAATAAGTTCTAAGTTGAATCGCTCTCATGTTGATCAAATGACCACAGTATTGAGACACACGAGGTTCCATTGTTGCAACATCAAATATGTCAAACCACTGCAAGGTGCTTGTGCAGATAGCCCGTGCTGTTTGTTGCAAGACGCCGCACTTCAGACGCTAGAGTCACTCACCGAACTGCTCGTAGGATGCAAGAACCACATCACCCACACTCTCCGCAAAGCCCCTGTACTTTTGTTGAGCTTGCGGCTTGCGTTTCCGGCAGGTCATTTTGCCTTCAAAGCAGTGGTTTGACTTCAGACTTCAGACGTTCGACGAGTTCAGGTGGTGTTTCGCCGGCCCCTGCAGCAGCCCCTGGCTGCCTTGACCATCGATGATGTGCCGCAGCTGGACAGACCATCCGTGTTGGAGGCACGGGCAAAGGGAGCGAGGAATCGAACCGGCGGGGGGGGGGGAAGCCGGTCGAAGCAATTCGAAGCCTTGTCCCATGGGGGCATTGTCATGTTTTCAAGGGCTTAGTGTCATGAGACCGCTATCATCAAAAAATGCTCTTCCATTTTCACAGGCTATTTGTTGTACGGATTTGTTGCCTCGCTCCTTTCGCTCAAGAGCCAGCCTGGGGGAATTTCACGCCAAGTGGAGCCTTCTACAAGAGCAAAACGCCCAGCAGGTACTTGAAACAGGTGGATTTGTTGGAATATTTTTCTTGGCTACCAGTTGTATACCTCAGTCTATAGGTCCAGTAGGTAATGTGGATTTCTTATCGTTGCTTCAAGAGGGCTTCCTCCTGTTTGCTAAACACAGGTTTGTCTAGCACCGGGTTGGGCATAGCGCAATAATTACCAACCACTCTGGGGTTGGGACGAAGCGTGCTTGGAGTGATCAAACGTCAGATCCCTTTTAATTGTCATGTTGTGCCACTTGAACAGCAAACCATGCTAGTGTGGTTGTCTTGGGTTAGCAGGGATGTGATCAAGCCTTTCATAGGAGTATGATTTCGGATCACTGGTAAGGCTTTGTGGAGAACCTTGACAGGGTTTCAAGCGGCACATGTGCCATGCTCAAACACAAACACAAACACAAACACACAAACACACAAACACACAAACGCACAAACACACACCCTTTTGGGTTTAGCTCATTCCCTGAGTTCCGTTTCGAACTGTCAAGGTGTGGTTGCCATTTTAGTGTGTATCGGTTTTTTTTTGGGGTTCCTTTTGGCCGTAAATGAAATGTTTGTTTGCCTTTGGTCCAATCCACCCAATGGGAAGTGAGGCAGGGGATGGTCAATGACGCACCATGGCTGTGGCCATGGGCTTGGGTTGTAAAGCCTATCTTGGGACCGAAACTTTTCAGTGCCGCCTGGTCGTTTTTCACCGTTTTTTTGGGGGGATACCTCAAGATAACCCTATGTGGAAGAAGAAGCCCCTGAGAAACCGCAATGTTATCAACAAATGGTTATGGATCAAAATTACACCAGGTGACCGCAGGTTTTAGTCCTTGGTTCCATTTGCCAGGGTTCCATTGTGGGTACCTATTTTTGACCCACAGCCAAATGGGTATTGACAACAGACGCGCTTTTCATCCAGTTGCCTCAGGACATCCTGGATGTGCTCAAGGAGCACAAGGCGCGGGAGGGCGGAAAACACCTCTTTGGGGAATGGAGTCAAAGGGAAGCCAAAAGGAAGCCATCCACTTTGGGGTCTGTTTGAACCCAGTCCATGTGGGCTCAAAATTAAAGCGCCAGGCCAAACCGCAGGTCTTGGTCTTTCCATCTACCAAGGTGCCATGTTGGTACATCTTTTGAGCCACAGCCATGGCTTTTGTGGTTTTAACCATCACCTCTTTGGGGCTGAGGTTAGAAGACGTGGGCACCCTATTGACCAGCGGGTCAAAGAAAACCTGAGAGGGGGTTGGGTTCCCGGGTGCTTACGAACCAGGGGACATAATCAAGTGACCTAGGTATGGAATGCTATGTGCAAAAAGGGGCACAAAGAAGCAACATGGTTTTGGATTTTTGGTTTTGAGAGATACCAAGGGACCCCTGTTCAGAGCGACCAGTTTATTGAAACCCGCTAAACGGAGTGGCAACAACAAGGTTGTTCCCTAAGGGTTTGCTCATTGATTTTCAATCAAGTTCCTTTTGTTTCAACTCATATGCCACTTACGAATCCTGAGAAAGCCGGACATCGCCAACATTTCCGTTTGTTCAAAGGAGTTGTTCGTTATTTGTTTTTTCTTAGTTTGTGTTTTTGTTTTGTCTTCCTGGGTTTTTGCCTTTATCTTTTTTTCTCAGACTTTTTAGTTCTTGTTTTTTGGATTGTGTTTATATATATACATAGTTTTTGGCTTCTTGGCTCTTTGGCTTCTCGGCTTCTTGGTTTTTTGGCTTCTTTTGTTTTCTTCTGGCTTTTGTGGCTTTGGCTTTTCGCATCGTTTGCATTCCCAGTTCCTCACTGGCAGTTTGCTTCTCGGCGTGCGGCATGTATGTATGTATGTATGGACCCTTTTTGTCTGTATGCATGTACTTTATGTATGTGTGCATGGATGCATGCATGTATGCATGCATGCATGTATGTATGTTGTGTATCATGTGTTCACTGAACTTGTTGTGTGTTTGTGTGTTCGCGTGCATATGTGTATGTACAGGTATAAGGGTAATGTACGTCTTTGTAGATGCATGCTGGGCACACGCATGGACGCCAGCATGTTTTGTGCCTTTACCTTTGCGTATATATGCAGCTGCGAGTGCGAATGCGTGTCCACATGCGTGCGTGAGCAAGCGTGCGTGCGTGAGTGCGTGCGTGCTTAGGCTCCGCGGTGGTCGCTTGTCCCGGCCGTTTGAGGAGCGAAATCCGCATTTCAGCGAAAAAGGCGGGCTGTTGCAGGAATTTCTGTGTGTTTGTTGTTTTTTCTTGCGAGTTTTCGGCCCGGCGCGGCCGAGCGAGGTCGAGCGAGGTCGAGCTCGAGCGGAGGCCGAGCGGAGGTCGAGCGAGGTCGAGCGGAGGTCGAGCCAAGTCGCGCAAACGCGATTTTTTGGGGCGATTTTGCGTGAAATCCGGCCTGCCGCTTGCGCAAATGATGTGTTTCTGTTATTTGGCTAAAACGCGCCCTCGGAAGTGACGCGTGGAATCTAAGTGCGTGCGTGCGTGCGTGCGTGCGTGCGTGCGTGCGTGGGTGTGTGTGTGTGTGTGGGCGGGTGGGTGTGTCTGTGTGTTTGTGTGTCTGTGTGTCTGTGTGTCTGTGTGTCTGTGTGTCTGTGTGTGTGTGTGCGTGCGTGCTTGTGTGTGTGGGTAAGCTCTGAGATCAAAAAAGCCCACAGGTCATCTTCCGATCCCTTTCCACACGCTCGATCGGACCCATTTGGTTGTTTTCCATTGTGAGATTTGAACAGTTCGACGACGTTGGTTGGTTCAGGGGCCACTCAAAACAGAGACGCCAAGATCTGGCGCTCGCATTTCAGGAGCCAGCACCATTTGGGTGGCGAAGCCACGCGACTCTCTTTGAATTGCTTCTTCCGCTTTTTGGATTTGAACAATTTGACGACTTTGGTTGGCTTAGGGGGACCCCACCGGAACACCGTCAAGCACTTTGTATAAGGTTTGACAATCACATTTACCCTGAGTTATCAGCAGGGGGGCAGTGAGCACTCTACCACCCACTGCCCAACGAAGGCGGTGGTAGATGTGCTGTGAAGCGGTCTGGGACGCCAGACCGTGTACCTGCCTAGATAGTGATTGATCACCTCGGTTGCTCGTTTCTACTGACATGTCACGGCCCGTCAAAGAAAAACGCCATCCGCACCAACAAGCGGGACCTGAACCCGATTCACCAGAACCACCTCTACCAGGCGGGGAGCGGGTCAACCGCACCACCCTCTTTTTCTCCTTCCGGGGAGCGCTCCAAAGTGTCTGTGTGTGTGTGGGTGTGTGTGTGTGTGTCTGTGTCTGTGGGTGTTTGTGTCAATGTATTTCTGTGTGGGTGTGTGTGCGTGTTGTGCCAGTGTGGGTGCGTACGCGGGTCATTTGTGCGCATGTGTGTGTGTGCGCGAGAGGGAGAGAGAAGAGAGAGAGACAGACAAGGAGAGACACAGAGAGAAAGAGAGAGAGAGAGCTATTTGTGTGCGCCCATGCTGTGTGTTTGTGTTTGCGCATTAGCATTCTTGTTTCTATGTTGGTTTGGTAGATTCAGATGCTGACATGTCACGGAGTGACACAAAGCTGCAATTCAGACCTACTTGTCCACTGGAGGCAGCGAAGGTCGCGCAGAAGGCACAACCGGTCACTCGATCAGCAGTCTCGCACTTGCAGCATAATGATATATCTTTGCCCACTCAGCAATACTGCCGGGAGGCGCCAAAGGTTCCCACGCGTTCTTCGTTGTACGTCTACTTTAAAGACGACTGAGGACGATGAGTATGACGCATGGTTGGGCTGCCACCGCTAGGAACTTCATCTAGATTTGGATCTATTCTGCTAGCCTGCGTTGTCGCACATGGCAGGCCAGCCAGTGCGAGCATATTGCCATCGTTTTGCTTGGCTGGTGTTGCTTGCCTCGTAGCTTTTATCAGCTCAGGATGGCAAATGCCATGTTTGCCACGAGGAGAACTCCGTAAATGGGCTTTTCGATATGGATGAATCTGTGAAGTCAAGTCAAGCTGTTTTTGTCCACACCCATGCCATGACATGTGTGCACATGTGATTGGTGGTATGACGTTGAATCAAACAAGCAAGTGCCCGTCTACTGTGAACAGTCAGAAGTGCAAATGCATTCTGCGTCTCACCGCATTGGCATTGCCGCACACCGCCGCCCAACAAGGAGACCTTGCCAACAGCCTGTTTGCCACCTGACATGCCAAAGAAGGTAGGTACGGTAAGGCAAAGAACACAACCCCATTGGGGCAGCCAAAAGACGGGCGGGGGCAAGGTCCTACGTTGAACCTTTGGTTGCGGCTTTCTTGAAAGGGATGTTGGTCAATATCAACTCCAGATGTGAGAGTTGCGCGGGTTTAGGCAGATTGAGACTCAAACGCATGCGCGCAATGCTGGATGTCTGCTGCAAGTCAGACACTTGGACCTTGCACATTGTGCCCAACATGTCTTGTTAGTTGCAAGCGTGCGCTATCAGACAGTATTGATGAAAGACTGGCGAAAAGTGTCTTGTCTGTTGCCAGTGCAGCCGCAATTCTCACAGCATCTTTCTCGTCATTCCTGTTACACTGTTTGGCATTAGAGTTGAGTTAGAGTTTCATCTAGAATCCTGTGTGAAAAGACAAGCTGGTCGTTTATGCCAATTTCCCTGCCCCTCAAAAGGAGAGAAAAACCAACACAAGTTCAAGGGAAATGCAAACTCAGTTCTATTGGTTTACAAGCTTTAGATTGCGCCGCTTTTCAGATTGGGTCATACCTTAATTGGCTTTCAATTGACTTGGGTTTATCGAATTAGAATCTAACTGGGTTTCCCTCCCAAGTAGGATTTTTCAAAAATGGGGGGCATCTAGTAAAGAAATCACGGCTGGTGGTTTCTTCTATTTTGCAAGCGCAAGCGATTGAAAAAAAGGAAAGCACAAGGAACAAGACGGTTTTCATTGCAGTTTGTTCGCAAGGTTACACTGCAAGGCTTTGCATTTAAGCTGGATTACTTGAATCTCGTGAGTTGGATATTAGTCAGCAGTTCCCGCCCAAACATGGTCCCAAGTAGAAGTAAGGCTAGAACTTGGAGTTGAATTGTTAATTTAGATGTGTGCTGGGATCCTTTCCAACTATGCGTTCAGTGAGTTTAAGCTTTATGTTTTACGTTTAGAATTCGATTTAATTCGAGACAGGAATTCCTCTCTGAATATGGCTTTGAATGGACATGTATATCTCCAGAACTTAGCAAGGAAAGACACGTATATTGTTTCTCCCAAGTGGTTCAATTATATACACATATATTCTTATTTTTGAACAAAATTTAGATGGGCGTTCCTTTGCAAGTATCAATAACTTTGAAGAATCAATGATTTAAAGTGGATTTTAGCTCTCATGTAGACAGAATCTGGAAAGGAAAGACAAGCTGGATGCTTCTTCTAGTTAATGTGAATAGAACGCCTCTGCGGTTAGCAGGTGAAATGCCCAGGCCGCGGTGGCAAATGTTTCCTTCTTGCAAGGATTTTTTCTTGCTGGCCCCAACCTCACAATAAAAACCTCGAGCAAGCAAAGAAAGCACAACAAGCAGACCCTATGTATCCTGGCATAAAACAAAACAGAAAGGCCCCTCATGGGGTGGGTGTTTTGGGACACTGGGATTTTGCAGTGCTGGGATATGCCTCTTTGATACGGTCAATCCTATACATATTCATATACGTATAGAAAACCGAGAAAACCAAACAACACACATCAGCAAAGTTTCAGACCCTAACTCAGACAGCATGGGTACATAGGGCAGGATTTCTTTTGTTCTGTCGGTTTTCATGAAATTTGTTGTTCGTTTTTTTTCTTCTTTTTTTTCTCATTTTGGGTTTCTTGGCTTTTTTGTTCTTTTGCTTCTTGGCTTTTTGGCTTCTCGGCTTCTCGGCTTTTTGGCTTTTTTCTCCGGGGTGGGTGGTGGCTTTTCTTTTGGCTTTTGTGGCTTTGGCTTCTCGCATCCTCTGCATTCCCAGATCCTCTCCGACAGGTGGCTTTTTTGGAATGCAACATGCGTAGGTAGCGTATGGTTGCATGTGTGTATGTGGGTATGTATGTATGGACCCTTTTTGTATGTATGTATGTATGTATGCATGTAATGCATGTAATGCATGTATGTATGTATGTATGTATGTATGTACGTTGTATGCAGAATGGGTGGGCTGACCCCCCCTGCAGATATAAAGGCGCCTTTTCCTGATTCGTTACTTCTTCAAGCATTATGGGGGGGCGTTGCCGCCGCCCCCCCCACCCCCCCAAGCTGGCTTTTGGAACAACGATGCAATTCGCTAGGAGGCCGTATCTTTGTTGTTGAAACTGCCCTGTTAACCAAGCCTAAACAAGCCAAATATTGCTGATTGCTATTTTACAGCATTTTGCTTTCCAACACGAAAAACGATTCACACATCAAACAAAACAACGAAACATCCCAAAATGAGTCTGCACCCATGTCCAGGTGCGTGCCACACTGATGGTGATGTCCGGCTTCGACCTGCCCAAGGACCAGGGGGGGCCCGATCCTGCGGTGCGGCAACGGTACAAGGCGGGTGTGCGTGTGCGTGATGTTGCGTGTGTGTTTGAATGGGACCACAGAAAGAGCATCTGAGTGTTATGGGTCTTTTCAGTTTGCAAAAAAGAAGCAGCGCGCGACGGAAAGACCCCGAATGAAATTATTTCCTTTGGGAAGTTGAGAAGTGCACCAACAAACCAACGCCAACAGGAAAAGGCGAAAGGAACCAAGTCTTATGTTTTGTTTAAAGGGAAAACAAAAAGCAAAGACACATGCGTTAGTAGATAGAAAGCGACCAGAAGCAACACATGTTTTATTCATTAAGAGGACAACCCGGGACAAATTATCACTATAGAAGGTAACCAGCTATGTTTTTTTGCTTTGTTAAGGCTGGTTCCCTTGGTTACTGCACCGGTAGGTGGAATCAAGAATAGGAGAGACCCCGCAATGAATAAAACATATGTGTTGCGTCTGGTTTCTGACAAACAACAAACATATTTGTGTTTGCTTTTGGTTTCCCTTTAAACAAACCATAAAATGTGGTTCCTTTTGGGTCTTCCTTTCCGGCGTCGAGTTGACGCTGAAAACGCATTTGGGCTGTCGCCATGCTGAGGCGCTGCTGAGCCGTGCGGTGTCGGAGGGCCATGAGCTGGGGAACCATCTCCAGTTCGCGCCTGGTCTAGGTCCCCCAGTGCCGTCTCTCACGTTTTTTTTGGGGGAGGGTTCCCGCACTAAAGTGGGCTGCAGAAAAAAATGGTACCCTTATTCTAACCTCTCTACTGGAGGACCTAGTGGTTTGTGCAGCGCGGGGGTGGGTCCCTGGGTCTCTGCATGGGGATCTTTTTGTTCAGGGCTTTCTGCGCGCGTTCCTCGACCTTTTGATGGCTTACAACTGCCCATCCTGTTCAACTGGCGTTTAATAGTAGTTTTTAGTTGGTTTGGTGGTAGGTTCCATTTTAACCCACAGACAGTTGAACCGTTAGCAGGGGATCTGAGGGCAGCCCGGTTTTGGGGTTGAAAGAAGCGGCTTGAGACAAAGGCCCCAAAAAAGGGATGGTCCTGGTTTGGTAGTTTTTGAATGATATCGCCCTTTTGGGTTATGTCTTGAGGGAACATACGTTGCCGGTTGGCGTAGCAGTGGTGGTCGGTCAAGCGCGGCAACCACAGAAAGAGTGGGTGTGCGGGGGGGGGGGGGGCAGGGTTTGGATCCTGCGCTGATTGAACCGCCAGAGGTGTCTTAAAACGGCCACTGAAATAGGCTCGGAAGGTACAAGAATTTGGGTGTGCCATTTTCGCTGATTTTCCTCTCAAAATGGATTGAACCCCTCCAAAATGGTTTTCGCATGTTTTCGTTGAGTTTCCTTTCAAGGTTTCCCGTTTGAAAAGAAACAGCCCAACAAAGCCCGACCCATATTCCTCCACTCTTTGTGCCTAAAATGGTTGTTGGCTTTCTTTGTAAGGTTTCCCTCTTAGATTTTGTTCTGGAGGGGTCCCAAAAATCGATTTGGTTTTGGGGTCCAAAGAATCGATTTTGGTTTTGGAGGGGCCCAAAATCGATTTGGTCTTGGGTTTCTTGTAAGGTTTCCGTTTAAACTCAAAACCCAATAGCGGGTACCACAAATCCCCACAGACCCATTTGGGTGCCTGGGGCTCGGAGATTCGGAGCCTCAAAGGGAGAAGAAAAACACCGCTGCCACTCAAGTGGGGTTCCCTCTGTCTTGTTTGTTTTTGGTGTCTTGTTTGTTTTTGGGAGGCTGGGTAGGGGGGGGGGCGGGGTACCTTCCCCTGGTGATTCGAGGATGTGTTTCTTGGTTTTAATTATGGAAAATCGCTATGTTTTTTCCCGAAAGCATGGCGAAGGGTTCTTCCGCTGGGTTCACTTGAGTTGTTCTCATGAGAGTCATTACAAGGTGTCATTGCAAGGAATCATCATCATGAAAGTCATTGCAAGGAGTCATTGCAAGGAGTCATTGCAAGGAGTCATTGCAAGGAGTCATTGCAAGGAGTCATTGCAAGGAGTCATTGCAAGGAGTCATTGCAAGGAGTCATTGCAAGGAGTCATTGCAAGGAGTCATTGCAAGGAGTCATTGCAAGGAGTCATTGCAAGGAGTCATTGCAAGGAGTCATTGCAAGGAGTCATTGCAAGGAGTCATTCATGCAAGGAGGCAAGGGCGTCGCAAGATGCAACTTGCATTTTAAAGCAACTTGCGCAGAGCAACTTGCGCAGAGCAAGTTGCACAGAGCAACTTGCGCAGACCAACTTGCACCGACCAGTTTGCGCAGAGCGCCTTGCCTAGAGCAACTTGCGCAGAGCAACTTACGCAGAGCAACTTGCACAGAGCAACTTGCACAGAGCAGCTTGCACAGAGCAACTTGCAGGGAGCGCAATTTGCACAGAGCAACTGGCAGGGAGCCACTTGCAGGGACCAACTTGCCGGAGCAACTTGCGCGGAGCAACTTGCGCAGAGCAACTTGCACAGTGCAACTTTGCTGAGCAAGTCCGTGGTGGCCTTGAAGCTCTCCTGCCACGCACTCACATGTGCCATGGCCTTCATGAGATCTTTGCATATGTTGTCGTAGGCGTGCGCCAGACCTGGCACCAGGAGGCAGCCGCTAAGATCAAACACGTGCGTTGTCTGCGCCGCAAGCGTCACCTCGCAACTTGAAGCACGGGGCCAACTCGGATATTTGTGATGCCAGAAGCTGGCCCAAGGGCAAAGGTGGCACACTGGCTATCTTTGCCTCTGTGCCAAAGTCACATGTCCAAGACACCACGGCCCGTGAAAAGGAAGCTAGCACTGATGGCAATGCCCCGACTTCCAACTTTACCATGCGCACAAGCGCTCCAAGCTTTTGCGGTAAGCCAGAGCGTCCGCTTCCCAAAATTGCAAGTGGCGCTGTGTGCGTGTGCACCGGCTCCCAAATCTCATCTGGCCGCTTGCCTGCCCCAAGTTGGCGAGCTGTGTCCTGTGACACGTAATCACGCAGAAGCATGAAAAATTCACTGCCTCCTTGTGGAGACGCGTCTGCACCAAGGAACACAAAGGGTGGTTCTGCTTCATCTGCTTGGGCCCATCGGTCTCTCATGTGTTGCATGAGGATCAAATCAGCATACAGGCGTGCCCGACTCAGAGTGGCAGCGCTCGGCGCTGCCACAGAGCCATTGAAGACATCCTGCACAGCCTGCGCAGCCTCGATTTTGCCTTGATTGCATCAATCACACGTAGGGCACCGTGCCTTCCTCGGTGCATTGCAGGACGGAGCGGTCCGGTCAATCGCCGCGGTGCCATTGTCCTTGCAACGCTGCGGCCTAAGTTTAGTTCATTCAATGGGCTCCTTGCAAAGAAACTCCTGCGACTTGATGTGACACAGGCCTGACCTGTCGGTCTTGGTGATGGCAGAGCAGTTCAAGTTCTCGCTGAAGTCGCGCAATGAGTTCGTGAAATCGCGGGCCCGGGGGGGCTTTGAGTACCAGGTCTCCGCACTGCTTTCAGCCTTGCTGTGCAGCAGGGAGCTCACGGCGCACCCGATTGGCGAGAAGCACAAGGCGTGGACCTGAAGTCATAGTGTTGCGTGGCTCCCAATCTGGTGTGTGTGTGTGTGTGTGTAGAAACCAAATGATCCAGTCACGCAAAACATACCTGCAAAACAAGACGGCTTTCAAGCCAACTCAGGCCAACGCACAGTTCAAAGCCAGCTCGTAGAAGGAACGCCAAGTTCATGCGCACCTGCCGAAGCGCCCACACGTGCGCCCACATGTTTGCCGCTCAAAGTCTGCCACGTTTGAACAACACAGAAATTCCTGCGACGCGCGCCTCAGGGGGCAGCAAATGACCTCTGCCTGAGGCGTGTTGGCACTCGGGCTCAATGGATTTCCGTTCTCAGGCAGCCCGAGCAACCGTCAGTTCAAAGCCAGAGTGAAGATAGCGATAGCAACCTGTCAAGGCATGTTTTTTCCCCAAAGAAACTAGGCAATCACCTGCGCTTACAGTACCTCAACTCAAGCACTACCAAACAAGCCACACTTAGTCTACGCTTTGTTGAAACTGAAATAGCGTAGAGCAACTTGCGCAGACCAACTTGCACCGACCAGTTTGCGCAGAGCACCTTGCCTGGTGCTGTCTCGCGCTTGCTTCACGAATGCTTCGTGTAGGGAAGAAGAACGCATCCTGCAGCGTTGGGCCGACCTCGCTTGCGATGTTCTGCTTTCGGGCCAACCGTGGTCTAGTTTTGTGTTGGGGGATGTTTTTCGTGTTGGGGGGGGGTCCTGAAACATGGCACGTGTCGTACCGTTGGAGCAATGCCTTCCCTGCAATTGAAGCTGACAGCTTTCAGCAGGCAATCATCTTAAACATGGCCAGCTTCCTTTTCTGTGATTGGGGGAAATGGGGTAAGTCCGAACCAGTTATTTCTCAAATAGCCAAATTTATTTTCTGCGATGCGGGGAATGGGGTACCCAAAGCCGTTCTTTCGGCGAAGCATGTCTTCTAGAGGACCTTTGACTGATCAACTGCTAAATCCTCAATCAGGGGTCAACAGTAAAATGGAATGCTCCATTCTGGCGTTTGTTGTACAGCAAACAATAAAATGGGTGTGGCTCAAAATTAAGGAACCGGGGTTACGCAGGTTTTAGTCTTTGGTTCCATGTACCAAGGTGCCGTTTTGGTACCTTTTTTTGAGCCACAGAGACAAGGGGATGGGAATGAATGTGAAGTGGGCCGTGCAAAGTCAGCCATAGGTTTTTTTGTATTGAAGGAAACCCAACATGTTGCTTTTGTTTCACCAGACCTCCCATTTACCACTTAATGAGTCGGAAACTGTGCTCATTGTTTTCAAATCCTAGCAGGGGCCCCTCAATATGTCTGTTTTTGACCTCCAGTGCCGATCGATTTAATGGACCCCACCAGTAAAGTGCAGCAGGGGAAACGCAGCGACCCCTGTTTAGGGTACCAGTTGATAGCATTGGGAAGGTGAATCGGACTTTGGGTGAAATGTTTGACTCGGATGCCAAGGACCGGCCAGCAATCGCACGAGCCCCAGCATGTGTTCAGAGCGGTGGCCGATGTCAGCTTACAGTTTGTTGTCAGGATGAGTGTTGGCACAGAGATTCGTTGCTCCTGCTCCCAGTGTTTGCAAAAGAGGCAATACTTGAGTACTTACCTTTCAAGCGTTGTTGGGGTGCTACTGTCTTAAGATTCCATGTTGAGCCTATCTCATGCTACTACATTGGCGCAGAGAAGTTGTGTCCATGTGGCTATGTAAGTTAACAAAAAAGAAACATTCAGGCTCTCTGAAAGAAGCCATTAGTTTGCTGGCTAAAACGGAAACAAAGGAATTCCAATCGGGCTCCACAGTGCAGCACAGTCAGTTCCCAAAGTTCCAGAGTTGCAACTGGAGAAGCCCTGAAGCAGAAGACAAACTGGTGAACGCCCTTTGGAAAACAAGCGATGCAACGGCGCATCTCGTGCGCTGAGACAACCGGTCGCATATTTTTGGGCTGAAGTCGCAGCAAAACTAACTTATTGAGTTCTTGGACTTAAACTTTTAGGGAAGACCATTTTAGTAGTAAAAAAAGGGTTTGGACTTTTTGGCCAATCTACTTGGGAAGTGAGAAAAGAGAGCAAATCTTCTACTTGGGAAGTGAAAGCAACAGGAGCAGGCAGGAAAAGCCGCGACACACGATTTCAAGGAGCTCAACAGAATGCGCTAATTCCCGAAGCGGAAAACGATCCCATTGCTTACTTTGGCTGCCGCTCTCGTGACGTGCGTAGTATACCCCCAAATGGAGGTTGTCCTTTTGGCTTTTCTTTAAACCAACCCTGACAATGGTACCAACTCCTCCACATGGCCATGAATTCAATCGGGAGCCACCTCAAAAGTGATTGCTGGACATGAATCTCCACCTAAATGATGTCCGCCAAAAGCCCTAATTAAAATTAATGGTCATATTTCAACATGCTTGTTCTAAACATCCATGGCTAAGAGGTGAGTTCTCTTTGGGCGAGCTCTCCGTGGCCTAAGTTCATCGCCAAGTTCTGCCAGCTCAAAGTCCCCGAAACATGTTTTCTCTCCGAGGCCATGCCCCCGGAGGAGTTTGAGCAGGCCTTTGATCACTGCGACCGCTCGGGGCCCCGAGATCCCGAGATCCGAGTCGGACTGAAGGCGTGACGAGAAGAAATTGATCTGGGAGGGTGTGTTTTTTCTACAAGGCGGGCCCCCCCGCCCAAAAGGGCTCAGGGCTTAGGGCTTATCAGTGAGTATTCCTCTAAGTTGCCCTTAAAAGCACAAAAGGGGCTGGCCCCCCCGGCAAATGGGTGGGCGTTCCCTTTGGTTTTACTTGAAAACAACAAAAGAAGGACCCTCTAAGAAAGACCCGCCCGTTTGAAGGCCGTTGGGGTTGGGGGTGGAGGATGGGGGCTGAGAGTTGATCAGGTACCCCCTTTTTAACCGGCGATTTGCAGCCCGGCTTGGGTTTTTGAACCCCACTTCCTTGTGAAGCCAAAGGGGGAAGGCAACGTCACGCCAAACGTAACATTGTTCAATCCACGAAACCAGGTAAGGTGAGTTGAGTTGTGGCATGCGGCATCATGCCCCCTGCCCACAAAAGGGAGACCGTTTTTTGGTTCAATCTAGATGTCGCTCTCCCACAAAAAAGTGGCCCGTAACCAGTTGGACAATGGGGATGTTTCCTAATTAGTAAAGGTTCCAATAAAAACAAAGGGGAAACCATCACCCGCTGCTTGGTTTGTTCTCCATGCTTACCAACACGGCCATTGAGAAGTCTGCTGTGTTGCTTCGGGATCATCGCTAGGATGTCCCAGATCTTGTGACCCCGCTGGTTTGTTTGTTTGCTTGCTTGCTTGCTTGCTTCGTTGTTTGTTTGGTGGGTGGGTGGGATTGCTTGCTTGCTTGCTTGCTTGCTTGCTTGCTTGGTTGGTTGTTTGCTTGCTTGCTTGCTTGCTTGCTTGCTTGCTTGCTTGCTTGGTTGCTTGTTTGGTTGCTTGCTTGCTTGCTTGCTTGCTTGCTGCTTGCTTGCTTGGTTGCTTGCTTGATTGCTTGCTTGGTTGCTTGCTTGGTTGCTTGCTTGATTGCTTGCTTGCTTGGTTTGTTGCTTGCTTGGTTGCTTGCTTGATTGCTTGCTTGCTTGCTTGGTTGCTTGGTTGCTTACTTGCTTGGTTGCTTGCTTGGTTGCTTGGTTGCTTGGTTGCTTGGTTGCTTGCTTGCTTGCTTGGTTGCTTGGTTGCTTGCTTGGTTGCTTGCTTGCATGGTTGCTTGCTTGATTGCTTTCTTGCTTGGTTGCTTGCTTGCTCGATTGCTTGGTTGCTTGCTTGGTTGCTTGCTTGCTTGGTTGGTTGCTTGGTTGCTTGCTTGGTTGCTTGCTTGCTTGGTTGCTTGCTTGATTGCTTGCTTGCTTGGTTGGTTGCTTGGTTGCTTGGTTGCTTGCTTGCTTGGTTGCTTGCTTGATTGCTTGCTTGCTTGGTTGGTTGCTTGGTTGCTTGCTTGCTTGGTTGCTTGCTTGGTTGCTTGCTTGATTGCTTGCTTGGTTGCTTGCTTGCTTGGTTGCTTGCTTGGTTGCTTGGTTGCTTGCTTGATTGCTTGCTTGGTTGCTTGCTTGGTTGCTTGCTTGGTTGCTTGCTTGCTTGGTTGCTTGCTTGCTTGGTTGCTTGCTTGCTTGGTTGCTTGCTTGATTGCTTGCTTGCTTGGTTGCTTGCTTGGTTGCTTGCTTGATTGCTTGCTTGCTTGGTTGCTTGCTTGGTTGCTTGCTTGCTTGATTGCTTGCTTGCTTGGTTGCTTGCTTGCTTGGTTGCTTGCTTGGTTGCTTGCTTGATTGCTTGCTTGGTTGCTTGCTTGCTTGATTGCTTGCTTGGTTGCTTGCTTGGTTGGTTGCTTGCTTGCTTGGTTGCTTGCTTGATTGCTTGCTTGCTTGGTTGCTTGCTTGGTTGCTTGCTTGATTGCTTGCTTGCTTGGTTGCTTGCTTGGTTGCTTGCTTGCTTGATTGCTTGCTTGCTTGGTTGCTTGCTTGCTTGGTTGCTTGCTTGGTTGCTTGCTTGATTGCTTGCTTGGTTGCTTGCTTGCTTGATTGCTTGCTTGGTTGCTTGCTTGGTTGGTTGCTTGCTTGGTTGTTTGCTTGATTGCTTGCTTGGTTGGTTGCTTGGTTGCTTGCTTGCTTGGTTGCTTGCTTGATTGCTTGCTTGCTTGGTTGGTTGCTTGGTTGCTTGATTGCTTGCTTGCTTGGTTGGTTGCTTGGTTGCTTGGTTGCTTGCTTGGTTGCTTGCTTGATTGCTTGCTTGCTTGGTTGGTTGCTTGGTTGCTTGCTTGATTGCTTGCTTGCTTGGTTGGTTGCTTGGTTGCTTGCTTGCTTGGTTGCTTGCTTGGTTGCTTGCTTGGTTGCTTGCTTGGTTGCTTGCTTGCTTGATTGCTTGCTTGCTTGGTTGCTTGCTTGATTGCTTGCTTGCTTGGTTGGTTGCTTGATTGCTTGCTTGCTTGGTTGGTTGCTTGGTTGCTTGCTTGCTTGGTTGGTTGCTTGGTTGCTTGCTTGTTTTTTTTTTCCTGGGGGGGGGGTTGGACGCGCTCTGCCTTTTTTTTTTTTGGTTTTTTCGTTTCGCGCGGGTCATGGTTAGGGCCAGGCCCCTGCGGCCGCATTGGTTTCGACCCTTGTGCCAGGGTGGGTTTCGGTTTCCCAAGTTGGCCAGCCGGATAGCCACCCGAGCTTTCAAGAGGAAAGCAGAAGAAAAGACAAAGGGTAAAAAGAAAAATGGGGCACACTAAATGGGTGTTTCTCAATTGAACCCCCCTTTTGGTTGTTATTCATTTGGGAACCGAGACGCCCCCGCCCAATAAGACTTTGCCCTCAGACCTGGGAGGTTCTGATTTGGTTTCCTTTGGATTCCAAGCCGAACAGGAAACCAACCAATTTGGGGGGGGGTGGGGTGGGGTGGGTGGGGGTTGGGGTGGGGTGGGTTGGGGTGGGTTGGGGTTAGGACCCCTATTTGGATAAGCCCCCCAATGCTTCTCCCTCAGCTTCAAGTCTAGCACCGACCCGAGGCTTGATCGCTCAGCTGTCCGGAGGCGAAGCGCAAAACGCAGAGACTGGGGTGGAGGTCAGGCTTGGTGAATATTTATTCAGGGCTCCTTGAAAGATACATGTTGCGACCATTTGAAACATGGCTTTTTCAACACCAAAATAAAGGGAAACCAGCATTTACAAGGCAATGTTCAGGTGTATACTGTAAGGATCCCTGTTGTTATACCGCAGGGAACGGCGTGACGTTGCACTCACCCAATTCCACAAAAATTGGGGGTGTCTCACCCAATTTTTTGGGACACAATGAATATTGAAGCCATGGCTCATGTGACAACTGCGCAGGCAGCACAAGGCTCAGTGATCTCTCCTTCCGTCCCTCAGCTTCCCTTGCCATGATGCGGGTGTTCGCAGCCCTCACAGCCTGCGTGAGCGTGATGGGTGGCCCCCTCACGTTCACACACCTGGACACCACATGGACCCACTGCCAGATTTGGCTGACATGTCAAACTTTTCGCCTTGGTTTCTGCATTGCCCCACCAGCCAAAGTTTGGTTGCAAAGTTCGGGTTCTGGCTCAGGACCATAGAGGCCATGAACGACATGCTCATGGTCACCGCTGACTGCCCAGAGACGTCTTGGTGCGGCTTTGGATTCAATGAGAACAGTCCCAAGATGGACGGCGCCGAAACTCGGCACTTGTTAAGCGCTGTCTTTCTGTTAAGCGGGACTTGAGACCAAGTCGCGCCGAAGCGTTCTGTGACATCTCCTGACGGTCTCGATTAGCCTTGATTTCAGCCCACTTTTTTAATGTTATCGCGCTTTGTCTATCATGTACGTGAAAGTGTTAACGATGCACTTGGCCTGCTGAAGGACGTGTTCACGTTTGGGCACCACGGTGGAGTCGACCTTGCAGACTGCCCAATGTGTGGCTGTGGCGCCAGCTGCGGCTGCGGCTGCGGGGCAACCACCACCGCCGGTTGCGGCTGCGGCTGCGGCTGCGCAGCAACCACCCCTGCCGGCTGCGGCTGCGGCTGCGGCTGCGGGGCAACCACCACTGCCGGCTGCGGCTGCGGCTGCGGCTGCGGCGCCACAACAACGGTAGCCGCTCGGCGCTTGGGTGAGCAGCCGAAGCAGAAGCAAGTCAACCCCTACATCCCTCGAGTGCATACCGTGAAGGTCAGCCTGCCGTCTTTTACCACTCCGGGCTTCGCACGAAGTCTTGAACACGTCGGGGGTGTGGTGGGCATGGCAATGAACTCGGTGCTCTTTGTTCATGAGCATCCGGATGAGGGCATGACTTGGCTCTTTGACAACTGCGGCGGGCACGGGGACAGTTTCGGCCACTACCACTACCACGCGCCGCCCCTATGCTTGCCACCTGCCAGTTGCGTTGGCAATGACCTGTCTGTTGTTGATAAGTTGTTTCATCACTTCAGCAACCGCTGTGATTTAGCAGAGCCCTCGGTAAAGCAGGTGTAATGTAGTCGTTCGCACTCCGCAGGCTTTCGGCCCTGGGGGTGCCCACTCCCACAGACGGTTCCTGGTGGAAGACCGCCGGTGCCGATGCCTGGCCGTCGCAGGGGCCTGAGGTGCAGGTGGGCTGGGCTCTGGACGGCGCACCCATCATGGGACCCTTTCGCGCGGGCAAACGAGCCTCGGAGACGAAAGGCTTCGGTTGATATGTTCTTTGGTGAACATCCGCGGTCCGAGGTTGAACATTTGTTTGCAGCATCGAGCGGAAAAGCACGGCTCGAACAACACATTGTACGCAACACAAGTTTCATTCAGCCTTGGTCAAAGGTCTTGCACCCCTCCACTCCAGTGCCCGTTCTCGTTTTCTTGGGGCAGAGAAGATTGTAAGGTTCAAAAAAGAAGCACGGCTCGAACATATGTTTTGCGCAACACACACACACACTCACACACACAGACACAGACAGAGACACAGAGACACAGAGACACAGAGACACAGAGACACACAGACACACAGACACACAGACACACAGACACACAGAGACACAGAGACACAGAGACACAGAGACACAGACACACAGACACACAGACACACAGACACACAGAGACACAGAGACACAGAGACACAGAGACACAGAGACACAGAGACACAGAGACACAGAGACACAGAGACACAGACACAGAGACACAGAGACACAGAGACACAGAGACACAGAGACACAGAGACACAGAGACACAGAGACACAGAGACACAGAGACACAGAGAGACAGAGAGACAGAGAGACAGAGACACAGAGACACAGAGACACAGAGACACAGAGACACAGAGACACAGAGACACAGAGACACAGAGACACAGAGACACAGAGACACAGAGACACAGAGACACAGAGACACAGAGACCCAGAGACCCAGAGACACAGAGACACAGAGACACAGAGACACAGAGACACAGAGACACAGAGACACAGAGACACAGAGACACAGCGACACAGAGACACACACACACAGACACACACATACACACAGACACACACACAGACACACACACAGACACACACACACAGACAGACACACACACAGACACACACACAGACACACACACACAGACACACACACAGACACACACACACAGACACACACACACAGACACACATGTACACACAGACACACACACAGACACACACACAGACACACACCCACACACACACACCCACACACACACACACACACCCACACGCACACGCACACGCACACGCACACGCACACGCACACGCACACGCACACGCACACGCACACGCACACGCACACGCACACGCACACGCACACGCACACGCACACGCACCGCACACGCACACGCACACGCACACGCACGCGCACACGCACACGCACACGCACACGCACACGCACACGCACACGCACACGCACACGCACACGCACACGCACACGCACACGCACAGGCACACGCACACGCACACGCACACGCACACGCACACGCACACGCACACGCACACGCACACGCACACGCACACGCACACGCACACGCACACGCACACGCACACGCACACGCACACAGACACGCACACAGACACGCACACAGACACGCACACACACACACACACACACACACACACACACACACACACACACACACACACACACACACACACACACACACACACACACACACACGCACACGCGCACGCGCACGCCACGCACACGCACACGCACACGCACACGCACACGCACACGCACACGCACACGCACACGCACACGCACACGCACACGCACACGCACACGCACACGCACACGCACACGCACACGCACACGCACACGCACACGCACACGCACACGCACACGCACACGCACACGCACACGCACACGCACACGCACACGCACACGCACACGCACACGCACACGCACACACGCACACGCACACGCACACGCATTTGTGTCACAACGTCCGATGACGAAGGGCAAACGAGCCTCGCAGAAGATTTGAAAGGTTGAGCAAAAAACATTGTGTTTGCACAGACAAAGATGTACAGAGTCGTTAATCCTGGCTGAGTCATGACTCAGGAACCAGCAAGGAGTCCCTCGACGAGTGCTTCGGAGCCACAGACCCCATCACCGGCGAGTACCGGTACTATTTGGTGCCCATGGCTCCCTACATGCCGCCATGCCTGCGCGGCACACTGGGAAACATCACGGGCTACCGTGCGAAGAAGGACGGCCAGCCGTGCGTGGAGGCAAAGCCAAGCCAGATGCAGACCGTGGCAATTGCCGACGGAAAGGAGCTGAGCGGAACAGGGTGCCCGGAGCATGCCATCTTCAAGGAAGTCCAAATAGGGCATCCCTTCGGCAATAAAGTCAAAGTGGCACGAAAGCTTAAAGGTTGCGGGTGTGGTGCAAATTATGGCACTTGCCCAAGTGGCAGTGGCTGCGGCTGTGGCTGCGGCTGTGGCTGCGGCGCAACCACTACTGCCGGCTGTGGCTGCGGCTGCGGCTGTGGGGCAACCACTACTGCCGGCTGCGGCTGCGGGTGCGGCTGTGGGGCAACCACCACTGCCGGCTGCGGCTGCGGCTGCGGGGCGACCGCCACCGGCTGCGGCTGCGGCTGTGGGGCAACCACCACTGCCGGCTGCGGCTGCGGCTGCGGCTGCGGCTGTGGGGCAACCACCACTGCCGGCTGTGGCTGTGGAGCCTATGCATGCCCAGGCTGGGGGGTGCTGTTTGTTTAGACAGTGTATAATTTGGCCTACAGTTGCCCCATGATGCCTCACAGGGATTTTAGGAAGGCTGATACGGGTGTGTGGTTTTGAGGCTAAGGCATCGCGATGTTGGTGCGAACAGTCACAAGGCCCAGACGCGCTCAGGTCAAATGTTTTGCGCCATGGGCCTGACGAAGAAAACCAGTGCTGGCACGGCAGTTAGCATGTCGCAATGCAACTTGGTGGGCCACACGATTACCATCGACGCGGTTCAGGACGGACGGGACATTCCTTTTTGCTTGGGGTCTCTTTGATGGTTTCCCCCAAATGGTTTCCCATTTTTTTTGCAGGGTCACTGGGCAAGGGAGAGAGCCGTTCTCGTGATGCTTAGTTATTTGTTTCTCAGAATGGCAGAGGGTGCCCTTTTCGATTTCTTGGCAAATGTGCCGACTCGGTCTTTACTACTTTCCGCCCAAAGGAAACTACAAGTGGATGGGTCCCCCATAAAACCGATGTATACCGCCCCTCCCCAAAAAAACAGAAAAAGCAACACACAAAAACGGCGAATCAGCGAAACGACAAAACCAGAAACAGAAGCGAACTGCTTTAAAAAAAATCGCCAGCAGGACCTGCAGAGTTACAGCTTGCTCTCTGAGAATGGGCGCATGAAGGTGTCGGCCCGCCGGCCCTTGCACACGGGGGACGCCACAGACCTCACGCTCACCTTGGACAAGACCTACTACGTTCTGCTGGTGGTCGCTTTTCAGATTTACGATGGCCCCATTCTCTTCGTTCTTTTTCGAAACTAACAAATTACACGGATGTTTGGCCATATTCTGCAGCAAAGAATCCCTGCCTCAAAATG